CACACACACACACACACACTCAGGAACCTGCTCTCTCTTTAACATCTTAATCCTGCTCTGTGATGTTCTCGCTGAGTCGTTCAAACCAACCCTGTTAAATTTTAATCAACAGACAAATTAAGTCTTGAGTAAATCCTGCTTTCGGCATGTGGGAGGTTTCCAGGCTGCACTCTACCAAAAGTCTCACATGCATCCAAACCAGTGGATTCTTTTCCTCATCTCTTTTCTTCCTTGAACCATCAGATTCCACTCTGCTGGTGCCTCAGTGGCTTAGTCTCCCTGAAGTATGGAGCTGACCTTGTTTTACTGCCTGTCAGTGCCTGAAGACAGCCGCCACATCAACAGAGACTTCCCTCTGAGGACACGCTGTCAGAATGCACCTTTAACCCAGAAAGCTAAGCTCCCCTCAGCTATTCAGCTATGTGCAGTAACATGCATGCATGAACTTACGAATTAAGCAAAAACTTGAATCGGATCCGATCAGATGTTTGTTCTCTTCCTCAAACCTTCATCGCTCCACTTATTCTCAGAACAAGGTCTAAGATTAACACATAAAAACTGCATTGTTGTGTTATGAAACCTCCATGTTAAATATGATCAATCTGTGGAGCTGCTCTCATCAGAAACACTGCTGCCTTTATGCATAAGAAGAGGAGAGCTAGTGTTAGAGAAGGCCGACACCTGGGGCGATATGTTGGCCTGGTATAAACCAGGGAGCACATCATGTTCTTCTCTGGCTCAGATCATGACCATACATGTCATCGCATTCAATAAGAGAGCAGGTTGATTTCAAAGATTGACAGAGTTGTTTGTGAGCTTGACAAGTTGGTCATGTTTGTGCACAGTCTCTATTAACACAATGACCCTGCAGCAAAAGAGATGGTTTTGTTTACGGCCGTCTCCGTCTCTTTATAATAATTATTATTGTCGTGCACAAACAAAAGAAGTCCAATCGTTACGTTATTTATTGATGTGCCAGTGTTTTTTAGATTCGAGAATGACGTTTCTGTGCATCATCGTGGTGAGTAAGTGATTTACACACACTACCCTAGGACTGAGGGTGATGGGGGACATGGGGGCAGAGGAGAGGGGAAGCTGGGATACTACGGTTGGATTAATTATGTATGAAGTGAAAGAGAGAGGGGGCCAGACGGAAAGAAGAAGAAAGAAATAATCAATTTCACAATTTCAGAGTCATGTATGTCTCTCAAAATAAAAAAATCTACTTTCTATCAGTGTGGCCATTTTGATTCATCACAAAGAATCACGGTCAATTCTACCTGAAATCCTCCTTTTGAAAAATGACTCAAAAAACACTTATAACAGCCTGAATACCTCAAACAGCCACTTTAACAGAGACTGGCTGTGGAAGACTTGGGAATAATAACTCATTCAATAGGAGACAATAAGTCGATGATAGTGACATAAGTTATCACATGATGTTTGACTTAATAATATAATTTCTGTTTTTAATTCAACTATAGGAATTCATTATATAAACATGTTTTTGGAGTTCCAGTCTTTGTTTCCCTTTAAATGTGTTTAATATTAGGACTCTTTCTGCAGAAGTGAGTATAATAACAAGTAAAGAGGAAGTGAGAAATCTAAGAAGGAAAAGAAAATGGCAGGTTTTTTCGAGAACAAAGTTTTTGCAATATCACTCTAGTTCCAGTTCAGTGGAAAATTGTGAGAGCATCAGACATTTTTTTAAAAGATTTAAATACTAAATAAATCTATTTTGTCACATGCACACAGATGCAATGACGCACACACTGACCATCTGTCGCCAGCGAGTGGACACAGGATGGGTGGTCCAGGAGACGTTCACTGTCCCAGCTCAGGTTCCAGGAAAGGGATTCTGTTACAGGTGCTGCGGAGAAAACTGTTTGTGTGTCATCAGTCTGAGTCTTTCACTCTCCATGTTCTTTTTTTGTCTGTCTCTCTGTTAGTTTGCAGGACTGTGTAAAAAAAGTACTGAAAGAAAGAATTCAATGTGTGTCAGGGAGGAACCCATTTAATTTAAATGTGGATTCAGGATTCGGGTTTTTTTAAATTATTTTTACTTTCTTTAAAGGGTCAGTGTGTAGAATTTAGTGACATCTAGTTGCAGCTGAATACCCCTCCCCTCCCCCTCCCCTTCCCAACGTGATCCACGGTCTCCTTTGCAAGCTTTCCTTCTAATGCACTGTAATAGATGGAGAGGCGGAACATGACGAGCCAAGGAAGCCCTTAAATTACTCTGAGAGCACTCACACCAATAACAGGCATGAGAGAGGTATCATGTTGTGAGAAAACCTTTAGAGAGCAGGGCCGCGCGGCCGGAGGAGCGTTCCTGTTACGTCCAAAACAACTTGGAATCTGAAAAAAATTAAATAAATCCAGCAAACCACCATCATTAAGCACAGTGAAGGTTATGGCCGGTGAGTCTGTGCAGATGTCTTAGATTTCATTGTGGGCCTGCTGCTGGATGAGATGATTGAACTGAGATTTTTTAAAACCCCGGACAGGCCAGATGGCAGCGCACCCCGCTTTTTCCCATGGGACCCCCTCATCTGTGCTTTATTGATCCGAACTGTCTGATCTCCTCTTTCTCTCCCTGTACTGTACATCCTCTGCTCACCAGCTGCCACATCTCAGGAAAGAAAGAACGCAAATATTTTATAATAAGAAGTAGCTTTAACGAGGCTGATGACACGGATTAAAATAATTGAGTCATTCATTTTCTTTACCCATTTACCAGATTCAGAATCACAGGGTTGTTAGATCGCTCAGTTGGTACAATACACTAAAAATAAAAAAAAATAAAAGATGGACGAAGTGACAGCTCCCCAAAAGTGAAGCCAAAGCATCTCAATCACCACCTGGTGGCTGGTTGCAATATAGGTCATAAGTAAGCTTCGTTTTAATTTGTTATTTAATGCTATAACAAAATGTGGTGAAACGTATTGATTGACAGCTGACATTGACTCAGGATTGGTCGAGCGCATGTCTTAACTACTGCACAGGATCCCAAATGCTAGATGCAAGACGGCGGCGTTAATATCTGGGATGTTTTAACAAACGCAAGACACAAATGTAATAACTAAAAATATATATGTTTGTTTGCTTCCTTATCAGCCCTCACAGTCGAATACAGATAGAGATGTTCTAAATGCAATTTATTATCTAAAAGCTGGTATTACTTTCTTTTAAAAAACTCTGAATGAACAAGTGAGTGAATTACTGTTTCCTCTGTTTAGGAACTCGGGACATGACCCTTCAACTGTGACCTGACCTGAACCAAGGGGCAGATGCATAGTGTCCGAGTCATGGAGAAGGCATCGGTGAATGTGTGTGTGTGTGTGATTCTCTGTGCATATTCAGTCACTTCCATGTAGCATGATGTCCTTGCTAAAATATTCTGTCCTCTGTTGCGTCTGAAGAGAGCAGACATGAGGGACAGGACTTTTTCTAGTGGTGGAGGCGGAACAGGGCCTTGTATTGATCAGATTTTGTCCGTTCACAGTTTTAACACACTGAGAAAGAAATGAGCCACGAGCTGTTGACCGTCAATGAATCCCATTATGCATTCAGTGACAAAGAGACAAATACACTCGGAATCACAGATATGATGGTAACCTACTGAGCTCAGATACACAAGTCATAGAACATTCATACTGTACTGTAGCAGCGTCAAAATACAAATCTGTCAAGTACATTCACAGTAAAAACATTGTAATGGTAGAAACCACCCATCACGTGAAGTGCACGTCATAGAGAAGGCCACAGTTACCCATGAGCCTAACTTTGATTTTCAGTGTCACTGTTTTAAATAGTGATTTTTTTATTGTTTGAATAAAGTGTATCATCTTTTTCTAGCTGTACTATTAGCATAATATATCTTGGCTAGCAAAGTCTGAAGTATTGCAGGTGTGGTTAACAACTTTCAATGTGACTCCAATGTTTAAACTCCACATGTGTAGTCACGATGTTTAACACCTCAACTCCATCCCACATAATGGTAAAACATTGATAACATGTTTGCCAACAGGGAAGTTACATGAACGTAGACTTGATCTTTTGTGAAGCTCCTCACCACGACTGATACAATGCTGCCCCCTGCTGAGCAGAAGGCTGCCATCATGGAGAGAGCGCCTCCATTCAGATGTGATTGTTGGATCTGCACAAAGAGACAAGGAATTCACAGATTCTTTGAATTTATACCACAGAACAAAACACGTTGGTGTGTTTCTAACCGTTCCCTCAGGTCTTCATGTAACAACCCTCACTTCAGACGAGCTCCTTCTGTCTGACAGTTTTAAGAAACAGCTCAAGACATATTTCTATCATCTTGCTTTTAAATCATTCTAACACTATTTTCTTTCTTTTTATATCTTTTGCTAGTTTAATGCTTTTATTCTAAATATTTGATTAATTGCTAACGTGTTTTTATCTCATTCCTTTCTTTGATTGTTGTATAAATAAACTGTGTTATCATCATTAGTGTTATTATTGTCTCTGTTTCGTCACACGGAAGTGGGCGTGGTGTGACCCTCATTAGTCCACCGCTGGGTGTCGCTGTGCTGTGTGTGAGTACACACACACACACACACACACACACACACACACACACACACACACACACACACACACACACACACACACACACACACACAGCAGATCACGTCTGTAGTTGTCATGACGTGGACTGTCTGTGTTTCTTCAGTCCGTGTCCTGCTCCACCACCGACCACACGTACACACACACACACACACCGAGCCGGACACCGCGAACTTCACCGGGTCAGCGGCGCCTTTACCGGTACGTACCGTCTGTTGGCTCCGGTACC